AAGAAAAGTAAATTGTAACAGAAGTTCTTATATCTCTATAGAATGTAGGCTTACACAACATTTTCAGGTGGTCCAGTGCTTCTGCTATATATTTAGAGATTCTTGATAAAATCCAAAGAACAATCTGCAATATTATTAGTCCTGATTTGGCATCTTGGATTTGGTCACTTTCCCACTGCTGTAATGTAGCTTCTCTGTACCTTTTCTATAAATACTTTCATGGTAATTGTTTATATTAACTTCCTAATACAGTACCTAGACTTCATGAATTTAAGCGCACTACTCGATTGGCAACAAGGTTTCATCATTTTACAGTTGAAATGGCTAGATGCAACTGTAAGTTCTATGCTAACAGTTTCTTCTCTCGCACCTCTCATGTGTGGAACTCTCTTCCAGCTCCATGCTCTCCAGCTAACTTTGAACTTCAAGAAAATTAAATGCAATGTTGTTATCTATTGCCTTCTCGATTACTCTTCTTTATTTTTCTTGCTCCATAATGTTTCATACTCAGTAATCCCTTGTGTGTCTTTACTGCCTTGCTTAGGATGAAATGATTAAAAAAAGAAATAAGACATCTACTTTTAATTATTATTTTTTTGTCATTATGCTAAGTGCATTTGAATTTCATACTCTAGACATAGAACTGATCATGAGAAAAACATTTTAATAATTTTCTAATGTAATTTGGCAAACTTACTATTTTTCACTTATTTAAATAATTTGATACACTTTTTAAAGAAAATCTAATTAAATTATTTTGACTTAAGTCAAATTAATTTATTTAATTAGATTAATAAATCAACAAAATTATTTTACTGCTCCACTATTAATTTGTCATAATGTGAAATGTCAGCTGATAACAATGCTTACTACAAATACTGCAGAAAATAAAATTATAACTAAATGTTGCTGGGCCTGAAATTATAGAATTCTAGAAAAAGTTTAATATTTTTTTAAATTATTTATTTTATGTCTACTTTAAATAAAATTATTTTTAGAAACAAAGATTACATTTATTTTATGTTTTCTTTAAATGTAAACAGACTGATATTTTTTCTGCTATCTTATCCTATACAAATTAAAAAAATCTTTATCGAAAGAAGTATTACTTACATATAGCAATATTTAAAATTTGAATTAAAAATAAATAACACTGATGAAATATTTATTAAAATATGCTTTTAAAGAATATAATGCAAATTAAATGTTATCTCTAATGTTGTAAACAACATTTGTAAGATATATAAAAGAATGGTAAATATTTATTACATGTTAGTCTTAAAAAAAAGATGATGGTAATATTTTCTTTCTTTAAGCTCTATAAACAATGCACTTATTGATGTTTTTGAACATCCACAAAAAATCTTAAATTTGTCAATCAATAACAAAAGTTCCCATAATGTAAAAAAACAAAACAGGATTTGTTCTCTTTGTTGGTTTCAATCCCAATAGGAATGACCGCACCCCCACCCCGCCAAACACACACCTCACATTTTATAGGGAGAAGCACACAACACTTTCCCCTCCTGATTTTATAGGGCAGAAGCACATAAATGCATGCTGATATTTTTTCTTGGCAAATACAATAGGCTGCTTCTCCGTTTCATCTGACTCAGTCCTAATTTGTCTTGAAGTCAGAACGCTATGCTTGCTTGTCCAAACTTGCTTTTGTGTGTCAATACCAATTCTTGCGTTTGTGAACTTTTACCTTATTACTGTTAATTTGCCTTGCATATATTGTTTGCTTGCTTTATATTATTTTTTGCCCTCTTTCTTTCTTTTTTTTTTTTTGTTATTGTAAACTTTGTCAATTCTGTTTGTCGGACAGCACTGTTACTTATTTTGCATTTGACCATAGCTATTCACTCCATACTCTTCCTGATAAAAGTAATCTATTTCTGGATGACAACAAAAGTAAAATGAAGATTAAATACTGATAAACCATACATGTTTATAGCTATTTGAGCTTCAAAACAACAAAAATAATAAGCACAATAGAAGATTTGATATTTACTATTAGCCAAATTTTGGTTTATATTGTTAATATTCTCTACTGAATTAAGTGCATTGATAAGCATTATAGTGAAAGATGAATATTTGTTGTGTAAAATAAAAGCATTTTTCATCATTAAGCTATAGATTTATTGATGTGAGTGCATATAATCAATGCGAAGATATGTATATAATCAAAGCAATGACACATCCCAATGACTACTCAATTTTTTAAATAAGCAATTGTACTCAAATTTGACTAAATCTCAAGCAACTTCATTACTGATATCAGTGCAGTTTAAGCAACTAAAAAATAATGTAAAAATAAACAAAAAGAGTTAATTTATTATTTTATATACTGTATTCAAGAATCCTATTAATTCTTTTAATTTAGTTACATTAAATATCTTTCTTTTCTAATGATTAGACCCAAGCTTAAAACATTTAAAACAACTTGAGAATGAATTCTTGTACAAAAATTAAGCAACCCAGTTACTACTCGAAATTCTCAGCTGCTTATAAAAAGGATCATGTAGTAAAAGTTAAGTTTTCCTCTTTAATAAAAAAAAAATACAGAAATATTTTCTGGCTGTTGATGCTTTATATAAATGAGAAATAATGCAAAAAAAAAAAAAAAAAAAAAAAACAATAAATCAGAAGATAATTTTATATCAAAGACAGGAACCAAAGGACTTATTTCTTGAAAGTTTTTTAGACTTAACACTTATAAAAAAAAAAAAATCAAAATCAAAAGGGGGGTGGGGAGAAAAAGATTAAAATTATAAACAAAATTTATCAAGCATAATGATACAAGGATATAAAGGAATTTGTTTCTATAATTTATGATTTAAATCACAAAGTATCAGATGATTTGAAATATGAAAGGCATTAAAAAAATGCAATGTAACAGTAGTAACTCTTATCTTATGAAGTAATATTAAATTCAATAAAATTTCTAGTTTAAATTTGATCTGCTAAAAACAGGATATAATAGTTTATTTGCTTGAGCAACTAACAGATTCAAACAATACTATTAGGAAACATATGCAGGAAAGAAATTAAATAGTTTATTCTTTGCCTTGAGAATTAAAACAAAGAATAAGATGAATGTTATTGTTATCAGACACAACCATTATTATGACAGAAAAAAACCAGGAAAGTGAAGTAAAATTGATGACTTGTAAGTTGACACTGCTGTAATGTTTGAAAAAGATCAGAAACATGAATGAACATGGATAATTAATAAAAATTTACTTATATAGCAAATTAAAAAAAAAAAAATAAATCAGATTATTATCAGTACTTCCAACTCTTGCCAACACAATTTTTCATAAATTGTATGTATGCATATAATTGTGTATATTCTTGTAACATGTTAATATTACTAATCTACTACGTCTAATTGTTGACCGATTCATTTTCTATGATTCATCAACCTTAGGTTATTTAAAGCCAGAAGATATTCTTTAGTTAGTACGAGTTTTTTTTTGGGGGGGGGTTATAATGGTTTTGTGATACAAGTTTTACTAATTAGCCCATATCTTGAAGGAGAAGAGGTGGCTTCATACCTTACCAAAAGGTATTTGTGCATAATGAACCCAATGGGAATTAGAACTCTACTCTCTAATTAACAATTCTGAGCCATTATCCATTTCACTAGCTGCACATCCAATCTTACAGCACCTGGTATTCCCAAATGCTCACCCATCTAGCTACTGATCAGGCTTGCTTGGTGTTCATATGGGAACCAATATTTCAACATGATGTGGGTGTAAGTCTACTACAATATCTGTACAATTTGATAGGATGTCCCATCTAATGTAAAGTGTTTGTTACAAAACCCAAAATAGCTGAAAACATAACAATCTTTCATTGTGAGTTATATTCAACAACATATGCATAAAAGAAAAGTTGCTGCTTATATATTTCCAAACAAGTTTTATTAAATTCATCTGACAAAGTCAGTTTAAGTTTTTTTTTTTGCCAATATTTGAATAAAATGTTGTATATGTAGAGCAAAATTGTAGATAGTCCTAACTTCATGTTTGCTGTTGTCTTTGTTCAAGTACTTTCAGTTATCTCAGTCATTCAGGAACCATATGACTGAGGTGGTAGGAAGTAGTTGAGCAAAAACAGAGTCAACATTAATTGCAGATAGTTTAACCATAATTTTGATCATGATATACATCTTGTTTGAAAGTTGGAAAAATACAATAATTTAAATAGACCTTGTCAGTTGAATTTAATAAAAATTGTTCAGATGAATACTTTCTTCATAAATATACCTCTCTCTCACACACACACACGCATATTAAGGCAGCATATCTTCATTTAAATGTACAAGATTGAAAGTACTTGAGTAAGAAAAGTCTATGGCAACTTCCTTGATGAATTTCATTTTAACATCAAGAAACTGGTTAGAGAAATAGTAAGGATTATTATAAAAATAAAGATATGTCAATTCAATGAAAATGTGTATGTATGTATATATATATATATATATATATACACACACACTGTTTATAATTTCTTTTAACAGTCGATGAGTTAAACCTAAATTATATCAATTGTTGCAAAATAAGGTAATAATTAAAAACAAAGTATTTAAAAAATTATTTACTAGAAAGTTACAGGTAAAATTTGCTCGTCTTACTGTGAAAAGAAGTTTTGATGTAAACTTCATTTAAAATTATATTACTCATGTAAACAATGGACCAACAAAAGAATGGAAAGAAAAAAAAAATTTCATAGGCATTCACAACTGTTAAATGACTAAATACATAATTTTCAACTTGACTATATATAATTGTTTTATATTTTCTACCTTCTCTATAATTATTCAATCTAGCAGCCAGAATTAAAAAAGCTGATTTGATCAAAGAATACAAAAGGAGACTAAACTTGGTATGGCACAGAGCCACAAGATTATAAAGTACCAAGTATTGGATTCACAACATTAATGAATGGATTATTAAGTTAGCTTGTTAACAATTGGTTTCAGCCATACATATTGAAACGCCAGTTCTTGTACAATCAGCAAAGTTAAGCAACATTGAACCTAGATAGTACCTAGATGGGTGACCATTTGGGAATATTTGGTGCTGTAAGCTTGGATGTGTGCAATAATGGCTCAGAATTGGAAATTGGAGAGCCAAGTTCCAGTTGGGTTCGTTAGATTCACTTATGTGCAAATATCCCTGGAAAAGGTATGAATCCATTTAAATTAGGTACCTCCATGAAAAAAAAAAAAAAAAAAAAAAAAAAAAAGAGCATAGTCTGATGAAAAAGACGCCAAACTTTATGAAAACAAAATTTTACCGTCTAAATGCTTATGTTTTTATGAAGAGGAAAGACCAAAGTTTTTTTTTTAATTATTTTTTAAAATTTTTCCTTCTTTTTAGAACATTCTAAATTTTGATTAAAAAAAACCTTGTTTCTCTTTGTACCAACAGGGGCTAGTAAATAACATAATTTTTAGCATGTTTTTTTTTTTTGTATTGCACACATTAATTTGGAAAATCTTGCAAAAATAAAAATAACTGTCAGATGTTAATGAAACTTTCAGAAACTATTCACAGATGATTGAAATTATTATAAATATGTGTTTTTTTATTAAAGTCATGGCAGAAATATTTTTTTTATATTTGTTAACACCCCCATAACTAATTTTATGAAAAACTCTAGAAATTCGAGCACATCACCCTTAGTGATTACAATAGTTAAAAGCACAAGCTTTGAAGAATGCAAGTCATGTTTTTTTTCTTTTTTAATTGGAGCAGCAGTACCTGAAAATCAGCTCTGAATTGTAACATACAAAACTCAATAAAACAAATATATTATTTAATTTCAAATGCTTTTATTTGTTTTTAGTTGTTTTTATGAATATGGACAATATTTTCTGAAAGCAAAAAATTTTTCAATGAAAATTGAATTTTTAATGCAATTATAATAGATTTTTACATTAAGTTTTTAAAAAATATTATAACATTAGTTAAAAGCGACGTCAACCTTTCTAAGTGTCCTTATGAGATTGTCTAGCGTTTTGAAAATTGTATCATTTGGACCAATCAGAAGATCCGCAGTAATTAAGAAATGTAATTTTTGTGTTTATAATCAGGCGGTAATTATAAAGTATGGAAGACCAACCAGAATACAATTTAGTTGCATTATTTGAGTTCAGCATTGTTCTCCGCTGTTAAGGCCTTTACTTTTGCAAAACACATATGGAGAAGTTAATTTGATTTTTCAATTTCAACTGAGAAGGGTGCCATAAGTATCAGTATCATCTTATGAAATTTAACTACTGCTAAACTTTAATTTATATGATCTTATTTTTATATTAATCTCAGTTATGACATTTTTCCATAAATGAAATATCAAAATTAATAATAAAATGAATGGAAATACAAACACAGTAAAATGTAATAAATGTACATAAAATTATAGTATTTTATGTACACTTCTGATAAAATTTCATAAGAAAGGTACCTATAAATTAATTAGATACCTTTCTTATGAAATTTAATCTCACTCTTAACAGTCTTATTTTTTAATTTCTTTATATTTTCCATAAAGCATCGTAAACATAAAGATAAAAGCTAAACACAAAAAAAAAAAATAATAAAAAAAATAAAAAAATTAGAGCGCTGAAAGTTTTCCTTAAAAGTAATGAGGTAAATAATTTGTTCACTTAAATCTAAATAATTTCACTTCCTTCCATCCGTAGAAAGAATTATCCTCCCGTAAGTTATCTAAACGTCATGAAAATGTCTTTCATCACCTGTCAAAAGATGCGAAAGGTTATGACCTGCTTTGTTTTCTTTTCAAATTACATTTTTTTGGCACAGAAGCTAAGTTAAGCTTGGTTCAAAATATTTTAAATAAACATTATAATTTCTGATTCTATTAAAATAAGTTTTGAAAAAAAATGATAGATTTTTAAAAGAATATCAAAGTCAGATTTTCATCTTTTTTATAAAATGGAAAAAAAATGATTGAAAATGATGGATTATCTATTCTTTTTTTTTTTTTGACAAAAAAAAAAAAAGATTTTTAACAAAAATTTCGGACATGCTAGGAACGATTAAAAAATGTAAAAAAATACCCCCAAAATACTTTGATCTTTCCTCTTTAATAATATTATGAACATTAGACAATAAAATTTTGTTTTCGTCAAGTTTGGCGTCTTTTTCATCATGCTATGCTCTTTTTGTTTACATTTCATAGAGGTACCTAATTTAAATGCAATGTCAATTGTTATCTTGTCTTCTTTCTTGCATCTTAGTGACTTTATTGCCTTGCTTGGGGTGATATGATAAAAAAAGAAAGAAAGAAAGAAAGAAACCTGCTGCAAAACAGAAATTTGTTGCAAATGTTTTCCAGTTTATAGTACTAGTTCCATCCCTTGATAGTTGTTAAATTTACATACATGTTTCATATACTAAATTCAATAACTATTAGGTTAATTCATAAGTAATTTTCCCTTTTTTGGAAACTAACTTCAATATTTTGTAGGATAAAGTTGATAAACCAAAACAGCATTTTTTTATGATTCAACCTAATATTATAGGACAGAGGTCATATTTTTTCTGGCTATATATATATATATATATATATATATATATATTTATTACTTAAACATTATTTTTAATGGATGCCCATATTAGAGTAGATGTTCTGTTTATTTATTAAACAATATATTTATTTACTTTCATCTATTTATTTACTTTTATCTGAATATTTGAGAAATCTTATTAGAGAAAAATATGCACCCTCCAGCAGGATTTAAACCTAGGGAAATGCAGGTTTGAATCCTGCAGGACAGTGTATATTTTTTCTTGAATAAAATTTCTTGAATATTCAAAGCCAGGAGACAAAAATAAATATATTTTTTAATAAATAAATGGAGTGCCTATTCAAATACAAGCATCCATTAAAAATAATGTTTAAGTAATAAAAATCTGTTGGATTAATAAATAAAAAATCCATTCTTTTCCTTTATCTCAATGATATATGAAACAAGCACAAAATTATGCATACACACAAAGTGACTCTTCAAATTTCTTAAATTTCAAAGTTTAAATCTAAATGTATTTTTTATTTGAATAAACGCAAAAAGACAATTCGGATTAAGGACATGTATCTTCCTTTTTTTAAAATCCTAGATATCATTAATTTGAATCATAAATGTACAATTTTCTGTCAGAAATTATTCAAAAATAGAGAAATTGTTGGCAAAAGAGAGATAACTGAAGATTAAATACTTTAAATCAATTAATCAATCAAATAACATGCAACAAAAATATAAGGCTGCAAATAAACAGGCAGCATAAGAATTAACAGTTTTTAATCTGCAGTTCTGGCTGAAATTCAAATAAATATAAAAAACACAAAAAAAAAAGGAAACAACTTGAAGCAGAATATTAAGAAAGGACTAAAGAAATTATAATATATATATATAAGAACATACTTACCTAATTTATTTACATGATTTTCCTGAATATCATCAGTTTCTTTTAAAACCCCTTTTCGTATTAATTCTTCCCTAGTAGAGCGCATTGATATTTTTCTTTCTAAATCTGGAAAATAAATAAAATCTATCAAAAACCAATAAAAAAAGATTAGAAGGGAAAAAAATCCAGTAAGCATTACAAAACAAATCAAAAACACATCAAAAACACATCAAATGAAAAAGTCTTCTTAATTTAACAATTCTCTTTATTCTTTTTTTCTTATATATTAAATGCTTTCTATCCAAACAGTATAAAAGTTAGAATTTAGAAGCTACTCTGTTAATAAATTGTGATTAAGAGTTTAAAGTGTTCAGTTAAAGATTTTTACGGCAAGAAAGAAAAAAGAGAAAGAGAAAGAAAAAAGAGAAAGAAAAAAAGAAAAAAGAGAAAGAAAAAAAGAAAAAGAAAAAAAAAGAAAGAAAAAGAAAAATTCGCACATAACAAGGGGAGCAAATTCATGCAGAAAAACTGTAATTACTTCCCTTATATTAAGTCGGGAAAAAAAATGTATATTTACGTTTTTATTTCTTTTGAAAGAAATATTAAAATTTTCTAAAATTAAACAAAACTTAAAATATGTTACTAGTAGGTATATATACATCAATATTAGAATAATGACAAAAGAAAATCTTATCTTAACCGACACGTTTCATCCTCTGAGGGACGAAACGCATTGGCTAAGATGAGTGATTTGAAAAGATAAGTCATTTAAAATTGCGTGAATGCATTCTGTTATAGTTATTTTAGAATTTTTAAATTGATTTATAACCACAACAGATGAATTTAAAACCATAAAATGACTATAAATGCAGATTTTTATAGTGCTTGGGTAAAAAAAAAACAAACAAAAAAAAAAACACACCACCTTCCTTGATGAATTTCATCTTAACATCAAGAAACTGGTTAGACAATTGGAAAGGATCAGTATAAAAATAAGTAGACACAATATTCCTACATTATTCAATGAAATCCTTGAATGAAGATATATATATATATATATATATATATATATATATATAATTTTTATATATATTATATATGGGCAGTACTTATTCAATATCACAATATCAGTCATAGAGCTAACATATTTAGTTGAATTGAGTTTGTGACCATGGGTTTCACACACTTGCAATCATCAGTCAAACTCTTTACCCCGAATGATTTGATTATAGTGGTGAAAACTTTGTGCAGAGCACTGAATACAAAGACCTTGTGCACTACTTGCCACAAGGACACCAAACAAACCTCTGCAGGTTTTGAATTCAGAGTTGTCCTTTTCCTAGGCCAGTTGCCATCCAAGGCAATACAACCCAGTCTGTTCTGCTATTTACCCATAGTTGGGGTGAAAGAGGATTTTCATACCTTTCCCAAGGGTATTAGCACATAAGTGAATGTAATGGATTTAGCTGCAATTGAAACTTAGCTCTCCAATTCCTTATATATATATATATATATATATATATATATATATATATATATATATATATATACATATAAACATAAAGGGCGTGATGGTTAAATTGACACCATTTTATATTCTTAATTTTGCACATGCATGTAGCTTGCTTTTGATTTTGCCAACTACACAGTATAGTGAGTTGGGCACTATCTGTGAGAAAAAGAGCACAATGTGCTAATTAACAATTGTTTTCCTATCGACCACAAGATTAGACTATTTCTTTCCAAAGTAACCAAGATACTGAACATGCAGACAAAAACAATAACATTAACATCTTTTACAAAAGCCAAATACATGTCAACTATAACCAAGATGAATTTTCAATTAGAAATATCATAAAAAAAATACACTACCTCCGTCAACCCCCCCACAAAAAAATTATCTATTACAAAAAGTTTAAAACAGCTAACTTTATCCTCAAAAATAACAACACCCGCAAAATCAAAACTACAAAGAACCCACATTATTTACAAGTTCAAATGCCCCTTAAGATGTTCCTGATCAAACCAAGCTCATAAATAATTACATTGGTCACACTACTATATACCTATCCAGACAACTTACATTACACCTATCTGACCACAGCTCTATCTGAACTCATTTAAACTCCCACAAACCTACCAAGCTCCACAGGCATAATAACTTCATCCACATGTAAAAAAAAAAGATGAAAAATAATGGAAGCCCTAATAATAAAAAAGAAAAAGCCAACACTCAATAACATTAACTACGAACATGTCCACAATGTACTGACCGTGTTTGGAAAATAAAACATCCCTATAAATCTAGATGCAAACATAACACAACCCATACATTCAGTTAAAAAGTAAAAATAAAATCGTCCTTGATAATTGTTGTGGCCTGTTTAGGGGCCAGAAAGAAAGACACAGAAGGCGAAGGTAGATTGAAAAAGCATATTGAAGATATATACAAAACAATAGTGTTAGTAATAAGTAGATTAGCACTGCGTCTACTACTCCACTTCACACTCTCTCTGGTATCGACTCTTGCAGTTTGTATTTATGAGAGGAGGAAGAGTTCATTATATTGTAGGAGGGTTTACCACAACAATAATGGCTAAAATTATAGCAGAAAGTGATTGAAAATGCAAAATATTTGGACAGTTGAATTAAAATTAAATAAAATTTTAATCGCTGCCTAAATACACACACACATGTGTGTGTTTTATATATATATATATATATATATATATATATATATATATATATATATATATATATATATATATATACACACACACACACATATATATTTAATAAATGCCAATGTCAGTGTGTCAAACTTTTTCAATTAAAAGGGACACAACTCTCTAACTTTCAATAGCACATATTACAGAAATTTGGGATTCCCAAGTTTTCATTACTGCAACTGTTTTCCGTGAATTTTTTTGTACAATAACCAACTTAAAAATAATTGAAATTAATTGCAAAATCCAGCAAAAATCACACATGTAATAAAAATAATTGTTTGTAAGGATATAGCACATCAAAATGTCTTTGAATTAAGTGATGACAGAAGAATTATCGTTGAACTTTTAAAAGGTAAGCTTACAATTAATGCAATACTTAAATGCAGTGATCAATTTTGAGTTCTTCTGTAGTTTATTGCTGCCTGTTGCATATGGCAGCAGTATGTCTTGCAAAAAGTAATGTCCACCAACAGCAGATGAGACTGCAATCAAAAGAGCCAAGGCTGCAGGGAGGAAAAGAAAGTCCCATGTAAATGAGAAACCAAATTAAACGGCAGTCAGGAGAGCTTCAAATGCTGAGAATATACAAAGACTTATAAACTCTCAAATTCCTGAACAATCCAAAAGCTCAATCAAGAGCCCTCTGTAGCAGCTTGCTTAAATGTGCCCTATCAAGCAGCTTTTAAGCTAGAGTGTGTGTGTGTGTGTATATATATATATATATATATATATATATATATATATAGGTAAAAATCTACCAGTAAGTAATCCAAGTAGATCCTAAAACTGATCCACAAAATAGAGTTATATATATATATAGACACACACACACAAAATAAACCTAAAGAGCCAGGAACTATCTACCTAGGTTTCGCCTACTTCAGAGTAAGCTGGCTAAAGAGGAAATGACAAGGAACATGTTTATTGATAAAGCCAACATTAAAAAGCTAAAATTACCATAAACCTAAAATAGCATAAAACCACGTGACAAAAGAAGAAAGAATCAATGAAAGAAAATAAAATAAAAAAAAATGAAACTCTACGCTAATAATCAGGACTTCTTATGCTTGCACCTATTAAGATTTCAGATCTTTGGTTTAGTAAATTTTTGTGTTTATTGAAGGTAGTTATTGCTAACTTTTCCTCCATACATTATAAACAATATTTGTTACCTGATTTATACTTTTGACATTTTTTTTTTTTATTTCCCATTTTAAAATGGGTTCTGTTCCATCTTCCTACTTGATATTCCTCATATATATGTATACAGACTAGTGTTGTGTTTATAATTTTCATTTTTAATGCTACATTTTAAAATTACCTTGGGTGCATCCTATGTAAATTTTATTGTTCTTATTACCATTATTAGGTTTGTTTCTATGTATTTCAACCTTGTAAACTACACATTCCTGTTGGCACTTGCCCTTAAGTAGGCAGGCTTCCTTATTTCTGCAGTTACATTTAAGGGAGTTGGGGTGTGGTTTGTTTGTAATTTTTTTCCTGTTATTTTTATTAATTAAGTTAGCTATATTAGGCATACAACTATAGCTTAATTTAATATAATTTCTATTGAAAATTTTGTTCAATATGTCGGACAGGGGAAAATTATTTTTAATAATTTAAAAAATATTTTACCTATTTTAGTTGTGACAGGTAAGTTATATGGAGAATTGAACCATAATATCTTTAGCCCTATTTTTCCCTTTACCTTGCGTGTTGGAGGAATTATAAGTATCTATATACGTCAATTTAGGTTTATGTCAACTATTTTCCAAGGCCCTTTCACAATCTTGTTTATTTTGATTAAAAATATTGGTACTGGATGAATTAGTAGATCATCTAAAAGTAATTCCATTGAGTATTTGTTTTAAAACATGCTTTGGGTGGTTTGAAACTACATCAATGTAACAGGGTTGTTGATTGTTTTTCCTAAATGGAAAAATTGTGCCATTGCATATGTCAAAGTGTAATGTCTAAATAATCAGTTACTTTTAGCTTAGTTTGTATCTCTAATTTAAATCCTAATTTATTGAACATCCAGTGCAACTTTTTACAGATTATGTCACCTTTTCTGGGGGTACATTTATCTACTATAATTAAACCATCATCTCTATATAGACCATGGTTACTTATGTCAATATACTCATTCAAATTCTTTAATAGGAGGCATTTAGGTTTGTTTTTTTTGGGGGACTGGAAATTTAAGGCACTGGACGTTTTTTTTTTTTTTTTTTCCTGATGTTTCTAGTTCTTTATTTTTTTCCAATTTTTTCCTCAGATACCAATTTGTTTTGGTATACTTGCAAATTGTGCCATCCAAGTTTTTTTACAAACCGAGTATGATTATTAGTATATATATATATATATATATATATGAAGAAATATAGTCTTAAGGTGTGCTATATTTATGGGATAAAGTGCTCAATATCAGAGAGAGCGTGTGTAAATATAAAAGTGAACATAGAAGTCAACACTTAGAGGCGACAGTCTGTTTCATGCTATATGCAATCGTCAGGCCATATATATATATATATATATATATATATATATATATATATATATATATATATACACACACACACATACATACACATACATACATACATGCACGCACCCACCCATATATATATATACAAACATATATACATACATGCATGCATGCATGCATGCACACACACACATACATACATACATACATACACACACTCAGATACATAATATTTCCACTATGATGAACCACTCTTCAATTCTTTAATAAAATCTTACATAACCAAATCAATTATTGTTAATATTTAATATAAGGAAAGCATAAGATGATTTTATAACAGTATATTTATTATACAAATCTATCTTGAAAATTTCACCAGCATCAATAAATTAATACTGATATTATGAAACTTTGACTTTCATAATAAAATCAGACTTAGTGTACACATACACACAAGGTGAATAAGTATTTCCTTAATTTCAAACATGTTACATGAAACCTTTGCTTGGTACAAGTCATCCTTAAAAAAAAAAAATATATATATATATATATATATATTTATTTTCTACTGTTTCTGAGCCTCAACATGTGTTTCATTTGATGATTGGCAAAATCATTCATGTGCTGATTTAAAAAAATCTAATTACCTTTACATTTTTTCATATATTATGAGTTTAAAAGTTTACCACTGTACCATATTTACCTGTCTCTTTAACTACTACCAATCTATGAATATCTATGTTTACCTACTTTCTCAGTGACATGTTCATATCTAGTAATGTACCACTGTTTATTTACCTATGTTATGCTTATGTTTATCAATCTATGTACCGTACCTGTTTGTTTTGAATACATTTCTCTCATCATTGAAGTTCAGTTAAACTATGCATGTTACAGAATGCTAAGTGTAATGTAGAAAAAAAAAGAAAGGAGAGGGAAAAAGAGAATAAAAAAAAATTGATTTTTACAGCCAATCGACCTTTTGCAAGTTATTTGAAATCAGAAAATATTTTTAGATTGTAAGACATTTTGGGAGACAAGAATGATTTACTGAGACAAATTCTACTAATTAACCCATAGCTAGAAGGAGAAAAGGTGGATTCATACCTTTCTCAAGGGTTTTTGTGCATAAGTGAATATAACAAACACGACTCAGCTCCCCAATTTCAAACCATTATACATTACACCACATGCACATCCAAGCTTACAGCACCTGGTATTCCCAAATGGTCACTCATCTAGGTGCTGAGCAGTATTTCAACTTGATATGGCTGTAAGCCAGATGAAAAGAGGGGAGATTAGAAAAGTAAAAAAAAAATAAGAGGAGAGAGGAAGGAAAAGGTGAGAGAAGGAAAAAGGTGAGAGAAGGAAAAAGGTGAGAGAAGGAAAAGGTGAGAGAAGGAAAAAGGTGAGAGAAGGAAAAGGTGAGAGAAGGAAAAAAGGTGAGAGAAGGAAAAGGTGAGAGAAGGAAAAAGGTGAGAGAAGGAAAAAGGTGAGAGAAGGAAAAAGGTGAGAGAAGGAAAAAGGTGAGAGAAGGAAAAAGGTGAGAGAAGGAAAAAGGTGAGAGAAGGAAAAAGGTGAGAGAAGGAAAAAGGTGAGAGAAGGAAAAAGGTGAGAGAAGGAAAAAGGTGAGAGAAGGAAAAAAAGGTGAGAGAAGGAAAAAGGTGAGAGAGAAAAAGGTGAGAGAAGAAAAGGAAAGGAAAAGAGAGAGAGAGAAGAAAAAAGGTGAGAGAGAGAGAAGGAAAAAGGTGAGAGAGAGAGAAGGAAAAAGGTGAGAGAGAGAGAAGGGAAAAGGGAAAGACAGAGAAGGGAAAGAGCTGAAAAGAGAGGAGGAGGAGGAGGAGGAAGAAAAAAAAAAGAGAATCATTTTCCTTGCTGGAATACACTGCAATTTGTATCAAGTAGTAAAATTATTAATATGAAATAGGAATGATGAATTTAGCCATATGTTTCAAGCTGAAAAGGATAAATTTTGATAAGTTTTGAAACATGTGGCATTTAAAATGTGACAATGAGAAAAAATTGTCACATTTTGAAAATTTATCAAAATTTTAGTGGATAAAAGCAGCTCTAAACTACTTTTGACAGACTCACTGAAAATAAGTTTAGTTCAACGCATAATTCATGAGTTTGGGTAAAAATGTGAGATTTTTTTGACATTTTAAAAAGACGTTTTATAATAAGAAAAAAAAAGTAACATTCCTCAAAGCCCAATCTACTTCTTGCTAATATGTTATAAAAAAAAAAAAAAAAGTGAAAAAAATTTATAAAGCTCCTGTTTTAATAAAACAATTGCTACCACTGCTAAGGTGTTTCTCTGAAGAAAAATTGGTTGAGTGAAACTAATTCAACAGGACAGGAGTAAAAAAAATGTCAGGTGGTAAACACACCAGATAGATAATTTTGAAGTGGTGGGGTTTGAGTTCTACATGAAAGACATTTGAAACTTGTAAGAACAAAACTGTTTCTGAAGAAATAACTATGAATAAATGATGCAGATCAGTCAACATTCCAACAGATAAATATATCTACTGGAAAATATTTCACACACAAAGATGTGTGTGTGAATGTAGGCAAAAGGAAAACATTTTTTTTATTGATATTCGTTTTTTACAGATATAGTTTTATTTATATCTATATTTTTTATATATATATATATATATATATATATATATATATATATATATAAAATGTATTTGTATAAACAGTTACCTTGTGCTGTATGCAAGAACAGCATTTTATTTTTATTTTTTATTTATATATATATATATATATATATATATATATATATATATATATATGTGTGTGTGTGTGTGTGTGTGCGCACATACAGAGGATCAGCCAAAAAATTGTGCCCAGTTTCTGGGAAATAATGTTGTTTATTAAGTAATGTTTGTCGTGTAGATTATTAATTTCCTAAATCAACTGACAGGCATAAAAATAGAAATCAGGTGCTAGTTATTACCCATATATATATATATATATATATATATATATATATATATATATATATATATATATATATATACACACACACACACACAGTGAATTCCAGTTAAATTTAACATTACTTACAAGGAATAGCTGCTTCAAATGTCCAATTATTTTGTAAGAACCAAATAAAATAAAATTACATCATAAAAACAGAATGACTACATAGAGAGATAAAAATATATGCTCTCAATTTTTTCTGTTTAAGTGTAATCTTTTATTTACACACACACATACACACACACACATATATAATTATTTATTTAAAAATATGATTTCAACTCGCGACATAAGAGGTCTCATGTTTCAAAACAAGAGCCGAAAACTTCAATATAATTATTTGAATTAAATTGAGTTAAAGAAAGCTCTGTTCCATCTTCAAGCGAAATTTTTTTTGGAATAACTTATTTCAGAAATTTACGTGTTTTAATAATTGAAATCAAAATTTCCATGGTAACAGCTAGGGCGAATTGTTTAAATTGGGTAGGCGTGTGTTGGGTGTTAATAATAAGTATCAGTATAGAGTTACTTTCATAGATGTCAAGTCAGGGAAAGGTGGGGGTGTCTAAATTTGAAACGGAAGATGTTTTAGCCTAGTCTGGCTTACGTGTCTATGGAGAGTTATTTATTTATTTATTTTATTTTTTTATTTTATTTCTTTATGAAAGGGATTTGTGCATATAAAAACTGCCGTAACTTTTGTTTTTTGACGACTTCATAAAGGGTTATCATTTTGTAGAGTAAGCTATTTATTTTGGCTATGGATTATAAAAGTTATTATATTGTATGCTTGTATTTAGCTAATCATTCAAACCATAGATTTGATGATGTCGACAGAAAACCGTTAACTCGTGTCTATTGTTTAATAGATTATTATTATTTAGAAACTTAATAATATGCAGCTTCTCATGGAGGCACAAAGGGCATGGGTCATCCCAAGTTTTACATGTTCTAGTCCTGTTTATAATTTTCCATTTTACTTTAGGTGTCCTATTTATTTCCTTCAGATGCCAAAAATATTTAGATAGGAAAGTCTGGTTTCTTTTATTTATATTGTTGAAAGAGCACTTATGCTGCCTCCATCTAGCTTTAAAATCATTCTTCGTGGACCCAATGTATATCATATTAGTACTAGGACTCTCAGTGGATGATATAGTACATTGGTATACCACAGATTTGATGCAGCATTTATTTTCTAATGTCCAGTCTTCTGGGTTTCTACAATTACATAATTTTTCCCTGTTATTGTCTGATTTAAGTGTAAGGTTATTATTAATACTATTCAGGCATGGAGGTTTGTTCAAGATTTTATTATTGTGTTTTTTTATTATACCTTCTAGATTTTCGGTGCAGCTGTAACTCAATTTTAGGGTGTTCTTATTGAATATATTACTAAGCTTACTATTGGTGGGGAAGTGTTTATCAATTAGAGCTAAGAATTTCTGTCCTAATTTAATACTGACCATTTGGTTGAACGGAGGGGTATACCAAATGATTTTTCTTTTCCTGTTTTTTTTCTTTTGGCCAGTGCAATTGTCTCTATAGTTAATGTTTGCATTTTTATAACCACTATTTTTTAGGGCAGTGTTATAGAAGCCATTGTGTTGTTGGAATATTTCTTTGTTAGCGGAGTTAATGCTAATTCTATTTTCTATTGATGAGGGTATATGTTTAATTATGGATGGAGGGTGGTTTGACTTCGGGTGTATATATAAAGGGTTAGCATTTGGTTTTCTATAAGGTTGGTATGTGTTGCCTGGTAAGTCTAGAGTTACGTCGAGGAAGTTTACCCTTTTCAAATTAGAAGAGACAATTACCTTTAAGTTTAGATTTTTGAATTCACTAAATATAATTTTTCTGATTTTTTTCTATCTTAAAACTAGTAGAACTCCTCACCACCATGAGCCTGTCATCTCTATACAGTCCGATGTCCTTAATATCAATTTCGCTGTGTGCCGTTAAGTTGTACAGTATTAAAAGACCAACAAGGTCAGAAGACTCCGCAGAGTCTAATGATCCCATTGTAATGTCAAACAGGTCGTTATTGTTTTTTATCCATTGGTCCCCATTATGAATGAGGATTGAGGCGCTTGAGGATTATATCTGTTTCTTCCTTAGTCAGGTTAGAATACACAGCAGCAAAGTCCAGGGCAGTTGTAAATAGATCCTTCGAAATTGATGGGTAGTAATCCACAATATCAAACTGTATTAGGGTGCAATTTGGTTTATCATCAATATAGTTAAACCAATTGATGACATCTTTAGTGTTGATCCTTAATTTTAATTCCAGTTGTTTTTTTATTTGGCAGGTAATTTTTTCCAGGATCCTTTTGCTGATCTTTCCTATGTTGGGTTGGGTAGGGTTAATTATTCTAGTTGCAGGGCGCTGATAGCTCAGAGGTAAAATCTCTGACTGATGCCAAATCAGTTGGGTTTCGATCCCAGGTTGAGGCAATCAGATATCTAGTCACACTGATGAGCTGTGATACAGTGAAACTGTCTGTAGATGACTATATATATATATATATATATATATATATATATATATATTAAGCATTTCGCCCCAAGCAAGGCGGGAGTTTGACTAGCATGCAAGAGGTTACAGAGAGTGAGAGTAAGAGTAAAGTGGGGTATTTGAGGAAAGGATAAAGAGAAGGATGGGGATCAAGATCAAGATAAAGGCATCAGAAGATGTCAATTGACATTATATTTGGATGTTTGAAGATTATAGCTATCAGAGAAGCAAGTAAGAGGAAGGGAGTTCCATTGTTGGGAAGTGCGAGAGAAGAAGCTGTTGGAGTAGAAGTGGTGATTACATTTAACTGTTTCATGCTTAAATTCATGCAGTTGGGGTACCAGTGAAAGTAGCTTGTCAGAGCAGTTGCCATGAAAATATTTGTAGAAAAAACAGAGGGAAGCTACATTACGACTGTGAGAAAGTGACTGTAGTCAAGATATCAGGTCAGGACCTATCACATTGCATATCCGTCATATATATATATATATATATATATATATATATATATATATATATATATATATATATATATATATAGTGAGAGTCATCATGCAGATTGGTTTGTTATGTCCATATTGTTTATATTAAAAAATGCTCTAGCAAATTTGGGCACTTCAATATGGTGTAATGGTTAGCAAGCTCGTTTCTTGAATCAATTACTGAATAGTGAGTCCGATCCTCAGCTGATAGATACTCTTGGCCTTGTGCCACATCTAAGCAATGTCTAGAAAATTATCATAAAAACAGCAAATTTTAAACAATCACTCTCTCTCACACACACACACACACACACACACACACAGAAGGGCTGAAAAATTTTCTAACCAACAATGTCATCATCGCCACAAAAGTTAATGTTTGGTAATTTTAGTATTTAGGAAGTGGGTCAGGCCAGGAACTTTTCAGCACTCTCTTATATATGTTTATATTTACACTCACACTATAAAGATTTATATTTGCATATATTTACATATCTCTCATGCATACACAAACATAGAGAATGAGTCAGAAAAAACATATAAAGAAGCTTTCTTTTATGCAAAAAATTCAAAGCCTGTGGAATTATTTCAAGTTAAGATAGTCAAATCTAGTGTTTTCATATGGAGTCGAGTGGGTGCCAGGTGTCATTTGAGGTGGGTCACGGTCATTTAAAACATATGTTAACAAACTAAATTATTCTTCTGATGTGTAACTTCTTATTCACCTTGTACTCAATAATAACCTTGATGTAAACAAAACACCTTAGCTTTATAAAAGATACTCTCCACCTGAAAAAACTTAATATGCCTTGATCCAATACAAAGAACATTAGGGAAGGTTTTTTTTTAAAATGTGCAATGAGGAAATAAGACTATAAA